GAGAATTTGTTTAATCCAGAGCGTCTTTAGTTGGTGATCATTTCCATTATTCTTGTGACCTTAATGTTTGAGGTGGGGGGTGGGGGAGGTGATATTGTTAGGAGAAATAACATGCTCCTCACGCCTAGGGACCAAAGGGTTACAGAACGTCATCAACAGGAAGTGAAACTGTGAAACTTTGCTATACTAAATGCTATTAAGCCATCTGTTATTAATCCAGTTAATAGTTTTTTTTTTCTTGAACGCATATAAAATTCATTATCATATGTGCAGTGAATAGACATTATTTTGAAAACCCAGTGGCGGATCTAGGGGAGGGGCACACGCTCCTCTCCCCCCTTGTTTTGGGTAAAGAAATAAACGCAGGGGGAAGAAAAGCCGGCAGGTGAACGCACACGGACAAAAATGCCCCCTCCCCCCCCCTTAGTTCAAGGTCTGTATCCGCCACTGAAACCGGATGTTTTTTTGTTTTGATTTGTTGTTTTTGTTTATGGTTTGTAGGTACTATCATCAATGGAATCAGTAGATCTGTTAAATGCTGATCACCTCAGAGAACAGGTATGCATTATTTTCGACAATGCGTAGTAGAGATACCCATTCATGCCCTTTAACTATTTTAAGAAGTCGCGCCAAACGTAAAATTAAAAGCTGATGTTATTCCGTGGGGCCTTGAGCACTAGGTTTAGTACGATGTCTCTTAGGAAGGGATTGGCTTGGTCTGGAATGTCATATTTCTGTACTTCCTCGCTCTTCAAGCTCGTAACCAGTGCCCTCGCAATCGCCACGGTCAGTGAAAGCCAAAGTGCGTCCTGCGTGGATATTTCGTGTATTTTCTTAACTGCACTTAAATAACGACTCGTTTAGAAAAGGCAAACTATGGCCAGGTTGATGTTTAGATTACTTATTCTGGTAGCTGACTCGTCCCCAGTCGTCTCCTCAGCGCGAGCAGCCGGCGCAGTTGGCATGGAAACGCAAGGTGTGCGGGTTCCATCACTCCTTTCTACCCCATTGCACTCCCATACCGCGCAATCAGGGTGTGGCTAACTCCCCTCAAGTAATCCGACATTTTTTTTCTTTTTGTTGGTTTTTTTTTTTTTTTTTTTTTTTAAAGATTGTGGATTTGATTTCATCAAGGACGCATGAACTGTCCGCACAACAAGTCAAGCAGGTGAGTGCCATCCTTGGGTGACCAATTGTTATGTTCTCTTAATAATTGTTAGCAATCGTCCGGTTCTAGGAAGGAGGATAACGCTATCCACTGGGCAACTCTCTATACTGTAGAGCGCGGTACGCTTTTTTTACCACTTACCACTGGATAGCGATTTACCCTTTGGATAACTTTATCCAACGAAAAAAGTAACAAGAAAAAATAGAAAATCTTAGGTTATGTGAAAAGAATCAACGCTAATAGTGATATTTTTTCAAGCGAGAAACTGCAAAGGTTTCTTGAAGCAGAAGAAAGCTATAAGGTGTGCAATGATTATCTCAAAAAGTGAGAGAAAGTGCTCTTTCTTGTAAATCCTTGAAAGTTGTAGCCGAGTAACTGAACAGACGATTTCTGTTTGGTGGCATGATGCGTAATGTGAGAAATTTGACGAGAAGGTGATTGACCGCTTGAAATCGTAATCATTTGAACAAACTAATAAACCGCAGCGAGTGAAAATCAGTGCTCCCTGTTTTGAAAACGAACCTGGCTTGTTCAACTATCGTTAACAAGGAGGGTGATAGTGAAAACTTCCTTAGCTTGAGAATTCACATGATCTTCACGTGACTCTCCTTATCTGTTCACGTGCAGCTGGTTGAAGACGCGGTCTACCGACATCTAAGTTGGATAGTTTTCTGGGGGAGTGTGTTGGGAGCTTTTGTTGGCTGTGCGGCCGAGCTTGCCTCTGTTTACATTAACGGCACGTGACTTGTCAAATGGCTTGGAAATAATGCGTTAGGTCACTACGTGGCTAACTTTTAAATGAAAGCCGGATGATCGCTATGAAAGATGAACCCTCTGAGCCACAGTGTTTGTCAGGGAACGATTTGGCCAGTTTAGCCGGTTACTAAGAGTGCTACAATGGCATGTACACATCGACGCCCCATTGATTTCCACAGCAAAGTAAACACGCTATTGTCCTAAATTGGCCTTATCTAGGCTCATGATGACAAAATGTAAACATTTGTATTTAATTACAGAAAATTAAAAAAACGTTAATATGTGAAGGAATCAGAGTTCCATAAAGAACAAAGAAAAAGTTAGGAATTAAAGCTTATAAATCATTTTCAACAATGGTCTTTTACTCCTTTAACTTGTTGAACTAGTGTCTTACCCAGACCTTCCACGGCCAAGAAGTACAGTCAAACGGTGGGACCTGGATACGAGATTATTGTACGCGTAGACTGCTTTTCGATGGCGAGATAAAATCCAAAGCCGAGTCTATTTGTTTAGAAAGAAAAATAACTCGAGTCTATTTAAAAAACTAAGCATGGAGGTCGACTCTCCTTTGGAAGCAGTTGTGTTTCTCGTATTTTACTAACCCTTGTTTTCAAATGGGCTTTGCCTGTTTTGTTATTTTTTCTAAAACGTGTTCCGCCGCGCCCAAATGTTTCCACTGATATATCCACACAACGCAACTTTGAACTATAAGCAACTTTTCTGGACAGTTGTTTGCCGAGGAACTCATGTCAATTTTTCTGTGATTTCTCATGATTTTTAATCATTTAATTGACTTTAAAATTCTTTTCGATAGTTTTGTTTTATGTTAGTGGTCGTTGTCCGAAACCAAAAATTAAATGGGACAGGTTTCTTTGTCTCGCAAACGGATGCAAGTTGTCCAAAACAATTTAACAAACGATTCTTATATCCAGCTGACACAGTTGTCTGGTGCTGCTAAATTATTTAGAGAAAACTGACATCACAGGAGAAGAAGCACATTTTTAATAGGTGACTTGTTTTTTAGACGCTTGTTGCATAAAACGGAAAACATAACTTTGAACCACAAAATTCAAAACACAGCATTACGTGTTTGTTGACGCCTGCGCATTGCACATTTGTTTTTGAATGGGATAGTTTAATTCATAATTCTTCACAGACAAGATTGCTTTTTCAGTTTTGTCGTCGCACTTTGAGCAAATTCATATGCAAAGCTCAGTATTAGCTTTCTTTTCTAAGGTTGAAATAGCCACCAACCTCGTTCCCAATGAAGGGAAAAGGCCCTGAGAACGAGGTTGAATAGCCACGGTTTCAATTCATGTTAGTAGTTGTAATCCCAGTTTTCGTTGTGTAGTAATTTATTGTCAATTTTTTTGACGATTGCTAAAGAATTGATCCTCCATGGTGGTTTTTTTCGTATTTCACCTAAAGAAGTTATATCTTTAACTTATGAGATTCGAAGAAAAACTAAAGAGAGATAATAAAAATTAATAAAATAATCTGCGTGGTGCCAATACCAGTTTTTTTCGCGCCGTTTCTCACCTGATCGATGACGTATTTTCCCGCGCTTTCTCGCCATCGATGGTATGTTTTGCTTTAAATATTGATTGTTTTTTTTTTTCTTAGATACTCATTCGTATTAAATAGCCGTTAGCTATTTACTTTCGTAGGGTTTAGCGTCACTGACCTGTCACCTTAAGAACGCAAGCATTAATTGTTGTTTGGAGACGTTAAATTAGCCTAAGCTTATATTTTATTATTGGTTCGCCTTAATCCATAGGGAAACATGTGTTATTGCCCTCCCGCGGTTTTTGTTTGACCAAACAATGCATGTGGTTTTATTTATTGATTTCACCTTCGCAGTTTATTTTTGTTAAAGACCAAGGTCACCTATTGTCATTGTTGAAAATATTCTAGAAAATCTGCCAAATATGTCAGTTTCAAGTGTCTCACACAAGCAAAGCGCTGGGGATGTATGCACAAGTTGTGTTAAATTAATAAAGTAATAACCGAGTGTTTGGTGAAATTGACACCTTTTTAAGTTGCAGATGTTATTTTGAAACAAACAGCAATAAAAATAGGGAGGGTTAGAAAATATTGAGAAGTTTACTGAAGTACCAAATTCAGTACAAATTAAGGCTAAAAAAAACCAAACGATCACAGCTTGAGTTTTTACCTGAGCATTTTACGATCGAGTGTTGTAAAACGAAACCCTAAGCAGACACGATGGCCAATTAGAAAGACAGAAAATATCACAAGGAGGAAAAGACAAGAATCAATGTTAACACAAGAAACAAGGCTCGATTACCGGCCGCTGCTTGAGAACCGGAACCCGCGCTTCAACCTGCCCAGGCCCCAAAGCGCGGTAGATCGCGAGAATGCGAGTCATATTTGTTTTTTTAGTTTTGCGTTTTCCTCTTTGCAGGTGTTTTCAAAGTAAATTAAGCCATAGTAACCCCGAATGACTTTCGATACTCTATATAAATTTGCTCGAAATAGCGGTGAATGATTATTTTGACCCGAAATGAAGAAATTCTCGTAAACAAATTACCATAACATTCACCACGCCGAAGTTTATGATCTGTAATTTTGTGCGATGCAAATGTTTTTAAGAAAAGGGAAAACAAGATATATTTTTGAGTTATAATAGATAAGAGGGTTCGTTTTCATGAGTAAGGGAAGAATTTAAGGAAATACATGCATTTAATAGGAGATAAGAATTTTTTTTGTTTCTTTCCTTCCACAGCTTTCTTACGCATTCTTATATTTTGCAATACAGCCTCATTGAATAAAGAACTGAGATCTTTTGTTTTGCACTACTGGTTTGCAAATTTAGCTTATGTGCAGACTTCTCAAATTATAAAGTTTAAACTCTGGTTGGAAATAACAATACTTAAATTACTTTCAGAAATTAAATAAGCACGCAAGTGTTTCCTCGTACAACTGTGCGGAAAAACCGTAGATTAAAACTCTGTTTGCAAAACATGATTTCCGGCCGAAGTGATATTTGTCCAAAATTTAATGAATCAAACATTGTACGATGAGTTGCCTGCTGAGACGACAGGAAACAAACTTATCAGTTGCAATAACTCATTCATTTTTAACCGTACGTTATGTAATGTTTATGTTCCGTTTGATGTACGTCCATAGCCTCTGGTGTTGTTACATTTATGTTTCACTGAATAAGCAATAACAATGTGGTAATCTTCCTACAACTGAACATATTCTGGCGATCAACGACAACAGAAAACAGACAAATTTGAATAAATTCCTTGAACTCCTAAGATCTGATTGTTAATTCTCCCCTCTCGCTTCTAAACATTTTCTTTTTCGACGAGTAAGGAGAATCTGGTGTTACATCGAGGTATTAACTTCAACCTGATAGGTTTGAGTATTCTCACTACCTCTTTGCTGGATAATGTAAGGTTATTCCGGGGAGAAGTTACATTTTAATCACTTCTGGGAATTAAAGGGTGAAATAGCAGTCTTCTCTAGTGAACAAGAATGAATCACGGGAAAACGACTCCTGAAAACAATGATGTCAAATATTTTAACTTATCTCTCCTAGGTGTTCTAACTTTCACATATTTAGCAAGTGTACCTTGTTCTTTATGAAATGTATTTCAAACTACTTGCCTATCGCCATCAAATGGTGCGACAATTTTGTGCAGAGGTGTTAGAACCACTAGCAAGTTACAGTAACTGGAGTGATTTTGAAGTATTTTCATTTTCTGCCCCGCCCTACCCAGTCCATTCCCCGGTACACTTATGAATAAACCGCAGGTCTTCGTCTGATATCGAGATTTATCGTTCGTCGTTTTCACCTGTTGCACATTTATCGCCGAGATGACAATATTGAAACCAGAAAATTACATTATAATTATAGCTGCTCAGAAAATCATTAACTTGTTGTTGTTGTTTGCCGATCGACTGCCCAAGTAACTGAAAAAGTCTGCTGGGTGTAGGTTACGTTGACAATCTTAACCCGTGACTAATGTGACTGATTTCCTGTCGTATTGTTTTTCTTCTCGGCTTTTTCAACGTCCCCCAGTCAGTGTCAAGTTCAAAAAGAATCCGTTTGTTTATAAGAATTCGAGAACAAATTATTTTCGTAAATAGCTCGCGACCAATTAAGTTTTACTTCGTCGCGAAATGAAGTGAATGGTTGGTGGTTTTTATGATTTGTTTCTCTTGGTTTGGTGATTTCCTGATTGAAATACGATTATAACACACCTTTCCCTCAAAAATGCCAGTTCTTTCGTGAAGCTTACGTTGGAACGGTTTTGTGTGAAGCGGCGTTTCCCGTCGATCGTAATACATTTAAGATGTAATCTTCCCCCCGTTATTTTTCCCAGCGGTTTTTTCAAAGATTTCTGTACTATTTTTTGAAAGATCTTTCTCACTTTTTCAGGGTTTTCAATATGCTTACAGAAAAAGGTCTTTGCAGATAGCTCTCTCTCTAAGGACAACTCGCAATTTATCTGTTTATGACAACCTTAAAAAAAAAAAAAAAAAGAAAGCACACTTTTTTTAACTTTCGATTTTTTTAATTGTTTGTCTCATTGCCTTCATTTCATTGAAGGCAATGAGAGACACTTCCCATCCCTAATGTTCTTTTTTTTTTTGTCTTTGCACCATCGACCTTCTTTTGTCTTCGCAGCTTAAATTCTTATTTCGAGAAATCGTTGAAATTAGTTTTTTAATCTCTTCTTACATCCTGTAATTTAACAACAAGCTACAAGTTAAATATATATTTAGGCCTGACGACTGACAAGCTGGAATCCTATTGGTTAGAGGATCGACCAATCACGTATCAGTAATTTACGATTGTTGTATAACTAAGAATAAGAAGACGAGCCTCGACTGATGCAATATTTGCTGGTTAGGTAACCAAGATATTGGCTTTGTTCAGAAATGAGCTGATTATTCAACTAAGAAAAAAGAACAGAATGGTTCTTAATTTGCAATTTTATCGTGCGCAGTTTTAGGGAACTCTAATTCAGAGGTGAAGAATACTTGCATGCTGTAGTTGTAGTCTTTGCGACAGAACACAACTGCGTATCAAGCAGCAAGAGTTTAAATTGAATTCAGTTCGTGTGAATCCCAGAAAATTAGAATTCTTCCGAAAAAACTCGAAAGTGCTTAACCATCTTAGTGCAGTATCTTCTGTTAAGCGGTTACTTGAAAGAGCGCACAGGTTTTACCTACAGACTAAACAGGTATTCACGAGTTTGTTAAGCTAACTATTTTCATCTCATTAATTTGAATTTTCACTCTGTTCGGAACAGCCCTTTGCTCATGGTGGCCCTTTGTTTAATGTTTTCTTTTTACCGATCTATTGATTTTTCAAGAGACAACAAATCTTCGACAATGCTGCGAAATTTCCTATATTCAGGTTTCGTTTCCGTAGCCATATTGATCTTTCTCGGCTCGAATGGGGTGAATTTTTCATTCCTTGCGTCAGAGAGCCAACTGAGTCAATGTCTTAGAGCCGTGTACTTTTGTATTTAAATCAAGTTTAGGATCTGAGCCTCAGCTAAGATCTTGAGAATAGAAAAATGTACACAGCAAAATTTGTCGGTTCGGCTGTTTTGCAATAACTTATCAAAGTATATTTGGTTGCACTTGTCTAATTTCTTGTGAATTTTTACACTTTTATTTGCTGTTTCCCGAGCAGTGACACGACAAAGACTCCCTCAAGCTATGAATTTTTCCTCTTCCGCTACCTGCAGCACAAACAATTATCCATTCCTTATTTACCTAGATTAAAAGCCCGGATACGGAGGAGTCCGAATTTGCCGTTCTATGCCTTCAACACGAAAGGTATCCAGTAAAAACTCTCTCACAAGCCGAGCGTAAAATCTTTGATCCCTTTTATTTCGACTGTTAATTGCAAGTTATCATATATATCAAGCTCGTTAGATACGACAATCAGTTATTGTTGGTAAAACCTTGTAATCTCTTGTTTTGAAATAGCTTTTTGGGGCGTTTCTGTGTGTGACAGCGGTATACTCTATGTCTAGACAAGAGAATCTGCTCTAAAAAAGCCGCTGCAATTGTAATCTGATATGTCTTGAATAATGTATTATTGTAACCCTCCTTTGATCTGTTGGAGGTACAAACAATTAGTCTGCTGAACGCTGACGCCGTAGGACGCTAGGCCGCTTCAAATAGCTCCAACCTTTTTGTTTCTAATTTCAATACTCCGTATTTACGCATGTTGCACGATCATACTCCGTATTTAGACGTCTGTAAAACTGTGTAATCCTTTGTGGAAAAAAAAACAACAAAGATTTGACTTGCGTGAATGGAGTCCGCTTGTGAACTTGGGACCGTCTAAGTTCTTTGTCAAAATTTTTAAAGAGAGCTGTATTAATCCTCATTTTACAACCTGATTCTTCTAAGTGATTTCTCGAGTCGGTATTTTATACCTTGAAAGAGGCTGTAAAGTACTTTTTTTGATTAAGAAAAAATGAAAAAAAGGGTGAGAGAAACAAGAATGAAAGAGGAAGGAACTAGGGTGGTAAAAATCATAAAAGATTGAAAATGAAGAACAAAAAAAAAAAAGAACAAGATTCACATTTTAAAGATACTCCAATTGCGATCGAGCTGTGTCAAAGCAAGAGGATGATATTTACTGTAGAGTCCATTCCTCCCTCATCCTAGCTGTTTAATTTTTGTTATCTCTCACTAGAAAGTCCCTTGGGATTAGTGGCCGGGGGTGCAGGTGGGAGGTGGAGGGGTGGGGGCTGGGTGTACATAGTGTTTGGGTGCGATCCCGACGGCACCTTTATCTGCGTAGTCTGAATTTCAGCCGTCTCTTCCCTTTACCCCAAGGGGGGCGCGGAAGAGAGTCTCTCTCCCGCGCCCCCCTTGGGATAAAGGGAAGAGACGGCTGAAATTCAGACTATTATCTGCGAATCAGTTTTAACCCCTCTTGATTTCCGGAGCCGTGCATAGTTGGGATAAGGAGGGGGGGAATGGGGGGGAGTTGTTACAGATTTTTAATTGAATCGCCTTTGAAAAGTTT